AAAATATCAGATACTTTAAGACATTTACTCAAGTAATATTCCTAAAGAAAACTTTAACTTTTACCAAAGTAATTTTTTGGTAACATACTTGTACTTTTACTCAAGTATCATTTTTCATGATACTTGAAAAATACTTCACTGTTTTGGACTTGCCTGGTAAAATAACGGTAAATAAATAAATTAATTTTGTGGTACTTTATACCGGCTGGTTCAGGCGGCAGTGGTGGAGTGGTTATTGGAGTCGTCCTGGAACCATAAAGTTGCCGATTCGATCCCCGGTCCAGTCATTTCGGTCGTTGTGTCCGTGGGCAAGACACTTCACCCTCCTTGCCTACTGATGGTGGTCAGAGGGTCCGGTGGCGCCGGTGCATGGCAGCCCCACCTCTGTCAGTGAGCCCCAGGGCAGCTGTGGCTACAATGTAGCTTACCACCATCAGAGCGTGAATGGGTGAATGTCTGTAAGTGTAAAGAGCTTTGGGGTCCGGAGGGGCTTGATAAAGAGCTCTATAAGTTCAGTCCATTTACCATTTCTACAACGCTGTGTCCCTCTGCAGCCTTTACCTCTAAAAACATGCAGGTTGTTTTCGTCTTTGTCACTTTGTTAGCCAGGCGGCTCATACTCCTTAACTGGAAACACCCTCAACCTCCACGTCTAAAGGAAGTGCTTCTTTCTATTAAACTTGAAAAGCTTCGATTCTCCCTTAAAGGTTCCTTAAACTCCTTAGAAGATACTTGGAGACCACTCTTAAATCATATTAGATCTGACATCTCTGCCTAATTGTGACGACTGAGCCCCCTACCCTTTTAATTAATTAATGAATTTATTTATTTTGTACTTTTTTTATTTATTGCTATCAGCAGTATTATTTTTTTTTGTTGTTTGTATTCTGTGTTTACATATGCTCAATGTTTATACTGACTGGTTTAAATTAATACTGAGAGCTGTCTAGTTCTGGGATAGGGAATGGATAAAAACAGAAAAATGTTGAACAGGAAGCTCTTTCTGTCAAATTATATTGTTTTGTTGCTTGTGRCACTGCTTCCAATAAAACAGCACCAGAGCTTATTTGGAAGTGGACCGAGACCACCTCAAAAATGGGTCTGGGTCTGGTTGTTTGRTCCGCACCAGGGTTCACATGAGTGTATTCCAGGGATCCTACAGTTTAAAGCAAGTTAAATTTAAGACTTTTTAAGACTTTTTAATGCCAACTGAAATTAAATTTAAGACCAATTTCATAATAAACACAAATAACAAAAAAAWAAAAAAAAAAATAAATAAAACTGTGGCAGAAACTCATGAATCAAAGTATTTTTGGTTGAAGTATTCAAATATTGCTCATAGACCAACCAACTGTTTTTACCCATATCTAACTGCTTTTTCGGCAAATATAGCAAAACCATTTGTAGTTTTAGGACCCACAGTGGGGTCTTAACCCCAATTTGCTGTAGATGAAACCTTAAAGTGCCTGTGACATCACAATTTGTAAGAAAAGTTAACGCACTTTTGAAAAGACAACATTATTAACATATTACAAAACAAACTTCTCATTGCTCAGACGGACAGTTGTTGAGATATGTGCGTCTAAGTAACAGGAAGTGATGTCAAAGGGGAATGTCTGCATGCAAATATAAAAAAAATAAATGTTACCAATTACTTTAATGTTTGAGATTAATTACAATCATCAGATTTACAATGTGTTGATGTTTTTAAGACTTCTGAAAGATTGATTTAAGACATTTCAAGGCTAATTAAGGCCTTATCTTTGGATTGATGAATTCAATGACTTTTAAGACTTTTTAAGGATCTGCAGGAACCCTGGTTTTCACATCTGAAGGTCCGGACCAACGGGGGGAGATGAACTCTGGTCCATTTAAACTGACCAAATGTGTCAGGAGTGAATCCACCCTTAGGGTCAGTACCTTAGTCTGTGTAGAAATGTCTGCATCCAAAGAGACATCTAAACATGACAGGATTGTTTGACCCCCCACCCCCCCAGACTAACACAATGTGTTGTAAAATGACTCTGAAGTTTGTTTTCACAGCTGACAGCAGAGACCAAGCAGTGTGATCACCCACTGAGACAGTTTCACTTTAACAGATTTGTCCTTCAGTCAGTATGAAGTTAGATCAAAGGCAAAATTTATTCTAAAAAGGTTCAGTTTTTTAGCTCGGTGCTTAGAGCAGTCATCCTCCTGGCGGTAAGTAATCACATGTTGAAGGGTCTCTGAGTAAAACCCCCCATCAACGCCGCTATTCATGATGGAATCCCACAGTGACATCACCAAAAAAGTTCTGGCTTTGATGTGAAGCTGTCAGAAAGCTTGATGAGTGAGAAGTATTTGTTCCAYGAACCTTCAGAGCAGCTTCCCTCCTCTTCCTCTGTGCAAATCTAACTTTAAGGTTAGCAGAGGAGCTCGGTACATACCTGCTCCCCCGTCAGGTTCAACACAGACTTCAGATCCCTCCCACTCAGAACGGTCACCTTCAGTAAAACAACCAGTAGTTATAAATAATCAGCTGTGCTTTTTTAGTAAAATACAAACAACATTTAATTAGCRTTGCTACGTGACAGGTTGTGAAGTGAAATCCATGAAGCTCCTTACTAAACCATGCAGCATGAGTCCTTTAGGAACTCCTGTGATGAAATCTGGAGAGAAAAATATTTTTCCTTCAGAATTCTGAATGCTCCAGCTTCCTGAAAGACTTCATAATCTCTTTCTGTTTCAACGTAAACATGTTGAGACCGAGCAGCTCWGTGTTGTAAATGAGACCCTCACCTTCCTGCCCGTCCCCGCTGAATTCCCCGGTGCTCACAGAATAACCTGCAGGACAGACGGAGACGCAGTCAGCTCTGCTACAGTCTAACGTCACTGCAACATTCTTCATCAGTGGAGAGACAAATGTTTGGTCAATTCAGTTTGAAAAGAGAATTAATTGTTCTGTGGAAGCTTAGCAAAGCATTTACCATTTAAAAACAGGTGCATTAACGACAGAAAAAACAAAACCATTAAAAACATAACAAATAAAGTTGTTTTTTTTAGGGACAACAAGCTTTCTGCACAGGTTATCTCAGGAACGTGGTCATGATATGGCAACATTCATCCAGTCATTAGGATTATAAGATCTGACTCTCCCACAGTCTGAGAGGGTCCTGGAGGACCCTCTCAGACTGTGGGAGAGTCAGATCTTATAATCCTAATGACTGGATGAATGTTGTCATACGTGATCAGTTTTTCAGAATAAAAGTGTATGTATGATAGAACGCATAGATCTGATTGGCTGAAGTGTACTTCCTCACCCAGATAACTGTCATCATAGCTCCCCTGCACCTGCTGTGTCTGAATCTGCCCAGTGACTGACAGCAGGAAGTAGGAGGGATAGTAGGCTTTAACAATCTCCTCTGTGGCTGCTGAAATCAGCTGACCTGCAGGGGGCAGAAGCAGGTTAATGAACAGGACACCTGGAGATCAGCTGGTTTGGTACCATGGAAAGTGAAGATCCACTCCTCTGGACTCACCTTGCCAGTAGAAGCTGCCAGGTCCACCGAGGACAACTCTCCCATCCTGTAACAGAGATGTCAGAGAAAAGGAACTGGTGCCTCCAGCAGGGCTATAAGGGCAGGTTTATATTCATGTAAAGGTTTGGGACAGATGTTTGGAGCTGGATCATGGCTCCCACTCAGAAGTGAGTTCATGTTTTATTTAATTGCATATTGTTAGCAGTCAGAGAAGCAGCAGAAAATACTCAGATCATCTGTTGTTGTCATCAGAACAACATGCAGAGGCTTAAATACTGTAGCTGTCTGAGCTGACTCAGTAGAGACCGGAGGTAAAATCTAAAAACTAAAGTACATCTCCCTGCCGGTTTAGATGTACTTAAAAATATGTACATCTAAACTTTTTGTACCTCCGAGTATAAAACTGCATGTTAAAGCTAGTATTTCACTTTGCTGCAGCAAACCATGAACAGTACTCATGAGGGAGGTTCTGGAAACGGTTGCTGTACTGTAGTTCAATTGTACTGTAGTTCAATTGTACTGTTGTTCAATTGTACTGAAGTTCAGCAGTACTGTAGTTCAATTATACTGTAGTTCAGTTGTACTGTAGTTCAGCAGTACTCTAGTTCAGATGTACAAAACAGAAAAATCAGGAAATACTCCAAAAGATATTTCTTCTACCTTGGTGAAGTCAATGCTGAATCCACCCTGACAATAGCCCTGTCCAGCAGGTCCATGTCGTTCTGCAGTGAGAAACACCAAAACACGAGGAGCATCAGTGCAACATGTTCCTTTTATAACATACAACTCTGTGTTATTATAACATACAACTCTATGTTATTATAACATACAACTCTATGTTATTATAACATACAACTCTATGTTATTATAACATATGAACTTATGTTATTATAACATATAACCTTATGTTATTATAACATACAACCTTATGTTATTATAACATACAACCTTATGTTATTATAACATACAACCTTATGTTATTATAACATACAACCTTGTTATAGTAACATCCAACCATGTTATTATAACATATGAACTTATGTTATAATACCATACAATCTTGTGTTATTATAACATACAACCTCATGCTATAGTAACATACAACTCTATGTTAAAATAACATACGACCTTATGTTATAATAACATATGACCTTGTGTTATTATAACATACAGCCTTATGCTATAGTAACATACAACTCTATGTTAAAATAACATATGACCTTCTGGTATAATAACATTGGATTATCTGATCAGTTCATTTTTCTCAGATAAACTTTCTCTGAGCAATGATGAAACAAAACAAGTGGCAACATTTCCTGTTAGTTCTCATTGAAGTGAACATAAGAAATAAATCTGTCCCTCTGCAATGAGGCCAGATTTAAAATGACTTACAAAGTATGTGTTAAATATGACTGTCAGTTACTACCATTCTAAATTTACTTCAGTATCTGTAAAAGCCACTGGTCATTCTGTGAAGTTTGATCATCTGTGGTTGCCATCAGGCTCTGGGTTAACTTCAAACATTCATCATGTGCATCAAACCAAAATTAACCAATACGAACACAAGAGGCAGGTGATAATTCTAACTCAAACTGATTAAATAACCTGATAATATCTACTATGCTAGCATACTCAGTTACTTCATTAGTACCATTAGAACAGAACTGTGATCACCTGTTTCTAAATGCCTTGAAATTGGCCTCTGTCTCTTTAAGACAAAAGATAACTGCTTTGATAACATTTTAACATGATATAAAGCTAAAAAAAAAGCTGACTTGACATGATACTGCCCCTTTAACACCTAATCTGAGAGCAAACAAGGTAAGATTTCACCTGAATGACTACCCTCTGTCTCTTCTCAGCAGAAGATGATCCTAGTCTGAAACTCAAACATGAAACATGGAGGTCTTTTTTTGCTGCCAGCTGAATGTATCAGCCTGCTGGGATGTGAGGAACGTTTGGACTGAACACACACTGATCGGAGGACTCACACATATTGGTGTAGTAACACCGACACTGACTTATTCAGCAACAAACTAAAAACACATCATGCAAAGGTGCAGAGTTGAACTTGAGCCAATCAAGTGTTTCTTTTTCAAACCAGTGTGACATTTAAAAATAAAATAAAATAAAATAAAATAGATTTCTGTTCTCTGTGCTCTCTGCCTCATGTTGCAGCTGAGAAGGTATTAACTGTTTATAACTATTTTATAACTAGACTATGAGTTTACCTGTTCGGCACGGGGCAAACTCCACAAAGGTTTTGAGGCTGTCAACAGAAAGATAACAGGTTCCTGTGACATCAGAAAAGGGGATCTCGTGTTCTGTCCTCCAGTAATACCTGGGCGCACAAGCCTGTGGAAAACAGAAACAGGATGATGAAGGGAAGAAGCAGGCTGTGTTTCAAATACTCACTCACATAAAATAATCTGATGTTCCTCATCTTTCAAGTCAAAAATGCCTGTTGTGATGTAAACCTACTGATACATACAGCGGGTAAAATAAGTATTGAACACGTCACCATTTTTCTCAGTAAATATATTACTAGAGGTGCTAATGACATGAACTTTTCACCAGATGTCGGTAACAACCCAAGTGATCCATACATACAAAGAAATCAAACCATAAATGTCCAGAAAGGAAGTTATTTGTAATAATGTGGAAT